CCCCGTCACTGCCCCACTGTTTCCCAGAACATCAGTTGCAGCGTGTCTATGCTGGGCTCCCTACCTTGGGTCCATCCTCACCTCTTTTCACAGGGGTGTGGCTTACAGTGACACAGAGGATGAGACAGGCTGCAAGCTGGGTGAGGCCACCAAGTGCCATGCCCCTTAAATAGGCAGGAAGGGTGGACAGGGAGGGGCCCAGGACTTCGGAGGCTCAGGGCAGCTTTGGGGAGTGGTCTCTGGCACTCCTGACTGTCATAATGAAGGCAAGTCTTGTTGCTAGGACTTTGCTTGCATTTTTCAAAAAAAAGATGAAACTCTGTTTTCTTTAATCCATAAGGGGAAAACTCAAAAATTTTAACTGTTGCCAAGAACAAGTTAAATGTCTTGTTAGAGAACTTGAAGGAACCAGATCCTCCCAGGCAGGGCCAGCAGCTGCCCTGTGGAGGGGGAAGCTTGGGACCTGCTGAAGGATGCCATGCTGCCCCTTTTCCCAGGGCCAATGCTTAACTCGCTTTATAGGATCCACCAACTTGGGCAGCCACACTTGGCTGGGCCACAGCTGGAAAGTAGGGGAATCTCTTGGGGAACAATAATCATTTGGCAAATACACAAAACTAATGCATTTGATCTCACTTTAATTAAAAAATAAATAAATACATGCCAGGGGCTTGTATCTAATGAGAAAAGAGCAAAATAAAACAAGAACAAAACACAAAAAGCAAAACCTATAGGCCTTGCTTGAGACACTTGGGATGTCCTACCTAGAGAGGTGCAGACTCTGCTAGGTGTCCCTGTGGCATGTCTCCACAAAGCCCTTCCTCTCTGAGTCTGAATGGTGTGGTGGGTGTCAGATAACTGAGGGCTTGGCCATCAGCTCTGCTTCCCAAACAACATCCACCTTTGCCATATCTATGGCTGATGCTGGAGCCTGAGTTCAGAGCAGAACATGGGCCTGCAGGAAGGCTGGGCACCTGGGAGCAACAGCAGCAGAGTGGAGGGGACTGAAGTCACCTGGCAGATGCTACACCTGGGTAACATCTGTGTTACCGAGCTGTGGTAACATCTGTGTGAGGGACAGGGTTCATGGATGAGCTATAGAGCACAGGCAGAGGCTCCTCCATTGGCCTGGGGACAGCATCTATAAGTGGATCCACTTATTCCAGTTGACATCGTGGGGGAAGACACGGCCCAGGCGGATGGTACAGTCCAGCGTAGGCTCATAGAAGGTGACAGTGCTCTCGTGGCAGGAGACTGCCTCAATCT